AGTCTACGAGACATCCTCCCTCATTTCGGTCGAAAACAGGCTACGCTTCCTTTCGTCATCTCCCGAGCATTATCAGAGTTGGGACTCATACTTGCCAAAGTCTCACGTCAACACTGTGTCAACCTGAAAGTTGCGTTGAAGCTTAACGGCTGCAGCACAACGGGAATCAGCAATCGCTTTCGTGTGAGATCGACCTACAAATCTCTTGATCATGCATTTTCATACGAAATGAAAGCCTTCATAGCAATGTTATCTTATGAGATGTGTCGAAATCCTCGTTCTTATCATATATGAAATAAGTCAAAAGTCAAAAGTCAAAACAAAAGTGCTGTACCAAAGTATTTATCGTTATTTCCAGTTTTAAACTCTCTCCCCTTCTCCACCTCTCCACTCCTTCCTTCACCTGCCCCCTCCCTCAGGAGGACGCAATTGACCCGGAGACAGTTGAGACGTTTGCCGGCTCGTGGGAGGCTGATGCCCGTGAGGGCTATGGTGTCTGTGAGCGGTCTGACGGAGTGAGTTACGAGGGTCAATGGCTCAAGAATCAGCGCCATGGATACGGTCAGACTCGGTTTCCAGACGGCACCTTGGAGCAGGGTCGCTATCAGCACGGCCGACTGGTCTTCCTCGCCTGGTCGAAGGGGACTAAACCACACCTTTTGCTGTACAACTACCACATCACAAGAGAGGTGAACAGCTCCGTGAAGAAGGCCAAGCAGGTGGCCAAGAAGGCGCGGGAGAGGGCCCAAGAGGCCATGGATCTGTGAGTTGTCCAGTTCACACTCAACCCCTCCCCACCTCCATTGCCACCGATAGACCTCACTGACCAAGCGAAGGTGTGTTTTTACGAGCACTGGTTAAACCGGAGGCCCAGAATTGTGGAAAGTAGAAAAGCAAAATGAATGTTACGGATTCACACTAAATGATGTTTTTAAGCGTACTTGGGACTTTTTCGATAGGCAACGTAACCCGACTTGCTGAGGGTCCAAAGATGTCGCCCA